CCGCTCCGCTGGCTCCAGCTGCCGCTCCCGCGGCCGCCTCCGCCTGCTCCACCGCTGCTGCTGTCGCCGTCGCCCCCCCCACGTCGGGCGCCCTGCCGAGCCCGTCCGCCCAGGAGTCGTCCAGGGAGCCACCGCCGTCGTCGTCGGGCAGCTCGGCCACCGCCGCTGCCGCCTCCGACGCCCGCGCACGCCGCGCGCGGCGTCTCCGCCGCCGAGCCTGCGCCGCCGCCGTCGCGCCTGGGGCCCCACCCAGCGCTCCAGCAGCCCGTGCTACACCTTCCGCACCCCCGCCCCGCTCCTCCACGTCGTCGCCATCGCGGTCGCCCTGCGCGCCAGGCGGAGCCCCAGCGCCACGCCCGGCACGGCCGCGCGGCCGGCTGCGCCGCCCGGGGCGGCCCTCAGCTGCCGGCGCCGGCGGGGCGGGCGCTGCCCGCGCGCCGAGCTCCGCGATGGCCGCGCGGAGGAAGCCCTCGGCGGCCCGCAAGAGGCGGGTCCCGTCGCGGGACACCGCCACTCCTGCGAGGCCGCTGGCAGCGTGCGCCGCCAGGAGCGCGCCGCGGGCCGCCTCGAGGGCCCTGCGGCGCGCCGCACCCGCGTCGCCAGCGTCAGCGCGCGCAGCGGCCCCAGCTGCCATCCCGAGGACGGCGCGGGCCCAGGCGAGGCACGGCTTGAGCAAAAGCGACTAGAGGCCCCCAGGAGGCCCCCAAGAGACCCCCAAGAGGCCCCAAGAGACCCCCCAGAGGCACCCAAGGGGCAAAGATGGCCCCAAGAAGCGCCCAGGAGGCCCCCAAAGGCCCCAAGATGGCCCCAAGAGGCCCCAAGAGGCCCCCAGGAGGCCCCAAAGAGGATCCCGAACGGCCCACAAAGGCCCCCCCGAGGCACCCAAGACGCCGAAAAAACCCTCAGGACGACCCTCTACTCGCCTGGGCGTCGTTTCTGGACGGGCTGGTGGGGATACGCGAAGCGTCTAAAATTTCTCTCGCACCATCATATCTGTCCTGTCGACGGGCAACGTGGTATAACTGGGTCTGGAAAATAGAATGAGACCAATCCAGGGGCCTCCGTCGATGGAAGATAAACGAAACAGAGTGCCAGCCCCCATGCCAGCGAAGGGGGATGCGCCCCAGAGCGGTCCAAAAGTTTTCTAGCTGCGCAAGAGATTGTTCGAGAACAGACGAGCGGAGAACAGATCGCGTGCCCGTCGCAGTAGAGACTGCGTGCACGCCGACAAACTCGGCCCCCAAGCCGATCGCGCACAGCTGGGCGGCAAGCTCGTAGGAGATGGCATGCCTGGGCCCCGCCGTGAGGAGCAAGACCCCTTCCTTGAAACAGCGTACCAGTTCGCGACCGGCGGGGCATGGCTGAAGTCTGCACTGAAGAAGTGACACACGCATGACTCGAAAAGGAAACCGCGTTAAGTGTCAGACAAAGCCCTAGAGCACGCGAGAAGCGAACTCGATTCCGAAATTTGGAAAGCACTGGATCCCAAAAGTGGGGACGCCCATCTGGCCCGATAGGGGCGCCGCGATGCGCCGCCCAAGAATATGCCAAGAGTTTGTCCACAGGGCCCCCGAAGTCTTTCAGAACCACCTTCGGGATGTTCAAGTCAATGCCACCGCAACCTACGATCTTGCACTTGGCGAAATTCAGCTTCAAGTTAGCAGCGTCACCGAGCATCTGAAGCCCCGCGAAGATCGGCCCAAGGTCCTGGAGAGCATTCCGAAGCCCAAGCAGCACGTCGCCCGCGCACGCAAGGTTGAGACAGACGCGGTGGGGGTAGACGTGTCGGCGCCAGCGGGGGAGCGGATCAGTGGCTAACACGTAAAGCAACATGGATGCAGGACACCCCCGCTCGGCGCCAGACTGCAGAAACACCGCCCCGGACACTTGGCCAACGATCAGGACCGCCCCCGAGCTGCCCGCATACATCATGCGAACGAACCGATCGACGCACTGCGGGATGCCCATGCACTCAAGAACGCGACGAAACCATTCAGAGGCAAGCGAAAAACAAGCAGCAGTGAAGCCGAGGCATAGGGGGCACCTGCCACGTGCTGGGCGAGGCCCCACGTCTCTGCACGAACAGTGTGCGCAGTCAACTCCCTTCCTCCGAGGCATGTCTGGCCCTTGTCAGCAATGGGGCTGAGGTCCTCAGTCATCGCGATCGTAAAGGCGCTAGCAATCAATTTGGTATCCGCATTGCTCGTGCTCAGAGGGCGGGCGCAGGAGGCTCGCCGAAAGAGCTATGCCATCCGCGGGGCCCTCCGGGCCCGTGCCCTCTGGAAAACCATGAGGCTCTCGCGCGTGGCATTCGGGAGGGAGGTGATCTGGTCAGTGAAGAGGGCGGGGTAAGCGTCGTATAAGATGCGAGTTGCCTCCGCGCTCCTCCAAGTAGAGCGCGGGATCCCATCGGGGCCAGGCGCGCTGTTGGGCCTCTCGAGGATGGCTTCGCACCAGACACTGCAGGGGGGGGGCCGTCCATCTCGAGCGGGCAGGGCGCTTTCTGAGTGCGGGGCTCAACCTGAGGCCAGAGGTCAGTCCGAACGCGAGGTTGCTTGAACACGTCGCTCCAATGGTTCCGATGGGCCTCGGCCGAGGCCTGGATCGTTTCAAT